AGCCAATTTGTTATAGTCATGTATGAACTATATTATTGTAAAGTTTTATTAAAATCCAAATAGTAGTTTTTATGTACTAAGCTGTATAAGTTATTAGAGTTTTTTAACTATCCCACGGGAACTATTTAATTTTCCGGGATAAAAAGTATTTAAGATGTTGCCCAGGGATATAAAGTATTCCCCCCCAACGTGCGTTCACCTTGTCGTGGTGGGGGGGCTCAGTAGTGCCCGGCAACACAACCGGGCGCGAAGCCAAGAAACGCACAGGGAGGTGGCCCACTTCGGTGGGTGGTGGGAGGTGGCCCTCTTCGGAGGGCGGTGTACCATGCGGGTTGCTCCTGGTACTTCTCTGATAGCAGAGTGGACCTTGGAGCAACCCCGTGGTTGTTGTGGTCTGCTTCGGCAGACCTGCCGTCGGGGCGTCGTAGTTGAATGCGTAAGCGATCCTGCGACGCCCCATTAAGACGGGGGAAGGCTTTGTTGGGTTTTAGTGGGTAGTACTGGCTTTGCTGGTGAGTCCCACACCTCGTGCGTAAATGCATTTCCCAACGTTAAAAAAAAAAGGGATATAAAGTACTACCATACAAAATTTCATTTAAATCGGTCCAATAGATTCCGAGATTAGCCCATACAAACAGACAAACAGAGAAACAAAAGAATGAAAAATATTTGGATTTGTTCTATTTGTCTTCTTACTCGGTTTTTAGCATTTTTTTGCTATGTACGGACATTCGACCTCTACTGTTTTATTATAGTATAGATTACGAATCTTTTGTATAGGAATATAGAAAAGTGATGTTTTAAGACATTTTCAGGCAATTTTTTTAATTTTTTTTCCGTAAGAACCATCCTCGTACTTCAGGGATTTTCTAAAAAAAGATTTAGCCAAACCGGTTCAGCTGCTCTCGAGATTTGCGCTTAGCAACACATTCAGCGATTCATTTTTATATTATAGATATGTATATTATGCACATGTAAACTGCCTCGGTGGTGTAGTGGCTAGCATGTATGGCTGCACACACAAATGATAAAACTTGGGAAAGATTGAAACATAAAAGGGTCAATGTATTTCAACAAATTAGAGGGTCAGACAAGACATTACGCTTATAGTAGTAAGGCGCCTTTGGATATTAAGGGCACTTTTCAAACAATTATCAATGCGAATGAGAAATCAGTTGAAGCGGGTGTTTTTACTGCTAGTTAATTATAAATGAATTACATATTTCAGTCGCCAAAAATTACACGTATTACACTTTTTTTATCTTATAGGTACATACATTGGTAACAATCAAACATGTCTGTAAATACGAAACATAAGGGGACTCCCTCGTGTGGGTTTGTTCAAAAATTTGTCTTTTTTGCATAAATTAATTCCCTTACAGTACAGAATAGTCTGGTAAAGTAATTTTTAAATTTTCGAAGTCGCTATGAAGATACAGCAGTTCGAAATCAGTGTTTAGTTATAAGTTGTTCATTTATTATATATGTATATATATATATATATATATATATATATATACATATCATATCAGTCGTCTGTAATGCGCGCCAGGTAACGGACGCGCATTGCATGCACACACTGACCCGAATTTTTATTCCGCCGCTAGCCGCGACCGGATACCGCCGCTATGAGTTCCGAAAAACTCATAGCTAACGAGCTGTTGGCGTTTATACAGCACGCCATCGATTCTATGGACGAGGTCAGCATCATGCAGATCTGGAAGTCGAGCTTTAAGCAAGAGGAGATTTGCAGGAGCAAGGTGCTGCTCTATGAGACTCTCGGCCAGGCCGACCGAATGCCCACCCGCAGAAGGGATGAAAAGGGCGAGAGAAGTTTTCAGTACATTATTAATCTCCTGAAGACAACCGATCCTGACGACGTGCCCGCCTTCGTGGCCAAGCAGCTGAACACGCTGCCTCCCGTCACGTTTGACCACGTTGACGTCACCTAGCTGCTCAAGGATATCACCACCCTGAAAACTGGCCTGGCAGAGGTGCAGTTTACGTTAGAGATTTCCGAATCTACCATCAGTAAGCTGCGTGCAGAGTTATTATCATGCAAAAATAATGGTTCTGTAAGTAGGTCACCGGAGTTCATTAACGTAAACACACGTCGTGGCGCATAAATTGACTCCACCAGCAGTTTGTCGTTGCCGCCGATTACTGCTGAGGTGCGCGAATCGCGCGACACAGCGACGACCGCCACCCGCTCCCCGGCCCCGCTGATGACGTCGAATGCGAACGTGGTCATGACCCGTCGCATGCATACGCCGCAGTTGCAGCCGCGCCCGCCCCCGCCGCTACACCCGCCCCGCCAAGCAAGCGGCCCTCGAATGGAGAGAAAAAGAAGAGCCGGAGCAGGCTTCACTAAAGTGGAGAGGAAGAAGAGGAAGCCCTCATGCCGTAACATATGTGGCACAGCTCCGAACCAGCCAGACCATCCGATGCGCCCTGCCATACCATCTACGCCGCTGTATGTGTCCCGATTGTACTGGGATGTCGTAGACTACGTCTAGAAGAGGTCCAACTTCAAATTGAGGGTTTAACGGCTGGTACCTCGCCACAAAACGAGTTTCAATTCGTTTTTGGTGAGAATGCCGACTCATCATCTGCCAACCTTCATAAAGGAGGACTTCTGGCCGCAGGGCATCCTGTTTCGGAAGTTCCGAGGTCGTTTGCCCGCTGACACAGCTCACACGTCTGGACTACGTGTTAAATAGTTATAATTAATATAATATATATATGTTAGTTTTAAGGTATATATTTAAGATCTTTTTGTAAATATTGCCTGAAATAAAAAATTACATTATATATATATATATATATATATATATATATATATATATATATATTATATATCACTACCAGCTTCTGCTAAGAAACTCAAAGACGGTATGGACATCGTATTGCTTCAAGTATCGCGTTTCGCGCATTTTGGAGTGTGTATCAATATTTTCTGCCATCTCTGGTACTGTTATATGTAAGGAATGTAAAAGTGATGTCTTTCACGCAATCGAGTTTTCGACGCTTAGGTTTTACTCGTATAATCGTTCAGTCTTGCAACTATGAAAAAACAGAAAGTTATAAATTCGTGCTCAGTGATTCAGAATGCATATGAAATTAATCACCGCTTTGTATTTGTAATGCGTTTACAAGGAATTGATCATGAAGGAGTAAATCTTTTCAGCAGTCTCATGGATATATGTTCAGCTATTTATAACTCAAACGTATTACGCACTTTTAGAGAATATTCATATAGCCGCATTTTCAGTTTTTGATACTATGTTGACATTTGCGGCTACGCAAGAGAAAAACATGAATGAAGATGTTGGAAAGCCACGTGATGGATTAACAATTTCAGGGCGGCACTTGAAGAAAACAAGGCTTCTCATCTCTATTTGGTATCTGTACGATGATTGAAAAATACACCAGATGATTTAGACGCTATAGCTATGTGCAGTTTTAACGCTGCTGGATGTAATAACTGGAAAAATAAAAAAAGGAACAATTAGGGTTTTAAATGTGGTATAAATCTTACACCGATGAATGCAGCATAAATCATACTGGAAGCTCTGGTAAAAGGGAAATAAATCACACAAATATTTGCAAGGTGGCAAAGGTGATTGTGACAAAAAAAATCAAGGGGATTTTAGGTGCTAAGTCATACGAAGAAACTTTAGAATCAAAAAACAGTATGTCTTGAAACTGTTTTCTCAAATTTTCCTCCATCATATCTAGAGAACGGTTTGAGTAATTCACTTAAAATTTAGTACACGTAGACGCATGGCGTCACCTAGAATAATCAAAGAATTCCGAATATTTAAATTTTTTCCTTAACGAAAATATTAAAACAAATCATGAAATTTGATACTTTTTTGCAAAAGTCTGTGAAAACCCAATTTATCCATATTTTCAAATGATTCTTGATCACTCGAGGCATTTGAGCTTAAAAATTAAAACCCCGTTGCTTTTTTTCTTTCAGATAATCCAATTAGCCGAAATCGTGGACGAAGTGAGCGTCCTTTTTTTCGAGGAGGTGTGTCTTTGCAGTGTTACAAAATTTACTTGTTTGTTTTACATATTCTTGAAATAGTAATAAATAAACGTTAAAGAACTCTGAGTTCTATCTTTTCATTGGTTGTCAAAAAAATCACAAAAAATGCTTAATAAATACGCTGTCACACGGGGTAACTCCCATAATGCAATATTGTCTCGCGTGTTTTATTATTGGCTTTCGGAGTTCGCTAATTATGTTTGGGAGTATTGATTTTATTTGATGAATAAAAATATCTTAACTTACAAGCCATACGCGTATTCCATTTAAATTATTAATAAATTATTTTTAACCGACTTCCCAAAAAAAGGAGGAGGTTCTCAATTCGTCGGAATCTTTCTTTTATATATGTTCACTGATTACTCGAAGACGCCTGAACCAATTTGGAATATTTTTTTGTTTCAAAGGGTATACTTCCCAGGTGGTTTCATATAAATTTTATCGAAATTGGTCGAGCGGTTGTATAAAAAATCAACAATAAATATATTTTTTAAATAAATTGTTTAATCGAATATGTTATTAAAAAACTTTCTTCTTACAAATTACTTGCATATTATGTCTACACTAAAAATGGAAAAAAAACTTAAAAAAACCGATTTCCAGGCACTAAAATATAAAAAATAACTAAACGGAGGTTTTCATTTAGAATAGATACCTAAGATATGAATATGTAATAAGTAAATATGTATTTTACGTTTCGAAATATATTAGATTTGCTTTGCATTGGCTGGCACCGACTTTGAAAATATCTGATTAGGTATCTATTCTAAATAAAAACCTCCATTTAGTTCTTTTTTACATTTTAGAGAAATCTTTTATTTATTTGTTGTTTTGTTTTTAATAATAATAAAAGCTGTGGGTATATAATATAAATTTTAACAAAATATTTGTTAAAATTTTCAGTTTTTAAAATGTGTAATTATTTTAAATAGTACTTTACAGAACAATGGAACCCATAACTCAAGAGCCCACCAGGATCAAACCTACCGTAAATGCAAGCGATAGGATTGTTATCTCTGGCGTTGCAGGCTTATATCCTGAATCACGAAATATTAAAGAATTTTCAGAAATTCTGTATAATAAGGTAACAAAATTTTTGCTATTGTCCTTTTTTGACTCTTGGTTATGTTTATTTGTGTATGTTACATATTAAGTCAGGTTGAAAATATTGAAATGGTCAGTTTTTTTTATTATTCATATGTATATCTACTATACAGTGAGTAACATGACTGATCGGCAAGACTTCTCAGAGCTCAAATCGGCTATCGACGGCGTAATCTAGGCTAAACCTTAAGATCAAATCAATGTATTAAAAAGATTTTAAAAAGACCTACAGAAAATTGAGATACTATGTGTCTATCTCCTAATATACAATGTTTATCTACTTAAAACATACCTTGGGACTAGTAGTAAGTTGCTAGTTATTTACAATTGTATGATCGATTACCAGTAAGTGTAATGGTGATGTTATTATTTTAAGACTAATCCGGTGAATAAGCAAAAAGATCGTTGGAATTATGATCATCCTGAGGTAGCGCAATATTTAGGTACATTGTCAGACCTTACAAAATTTGACGCGCAATTCTTCAAAATCACTTATCGTCAAGGACACTTTATGGATGCTATGTCCCGTAAGATTTTGGAACAAACGTATCAAGCCATTTACGATGCTGGTAAGACAGTTTACAGAACCAAATTTTCCGTTACTTTATATTTGATGCGATATTAAAAAACTTAAAAAAACCGACTTCCAGACACTAAAAAGTAAAACAATAACTGAACAGTTGAAGAAAAAGTTAAGTTAAATTTCCTAAAAGAGGAATGTTCACAGATTTCTCGGAGATTACTTAACCGATTTTGCTACTTTAAATGGTGGTGGTCGCCTATTTTTCTTTAACACATAATTTATCGTATACAAGAAAATCCGAAAAAAACATGAAATTTGAACTACATATATTAAAAGATCTAGTCTTTTTTATCTAGTTCCGATTGGCATATCGAGTTGAAACTTTACAATTTTTTTATTTCTTAAGATAAAACAGTTATTTGGTATCATCGAGTTTATCTGATGGTGAGGCCAGAAAGTGGATAGTGGAACTTTTCAACGGCTACTAATAAATTCTTTGAGTTTAAGCTAATTTAATTTTCATTTGACAAGCCCAATAAGTTAGAATTCTATTTTAAAGCCTGATTTTAGTGTTATTATTGAAAGTGATTTTTTTTAATTTCTTAGTCCCATAAAATTTAGCAGCACCCAAACATACATAGCCTAATCGAATATGTTATTAAAAACTTTCTTCTTACAAATGCTGCTTATACGTCTACACCAAAAATAGAAAAATTGAAACTTAAAAAAAATTAAAACTGACTTTCAGGCAAGAGTAAAAAATAACTAACGGCTCTTTCATTTACTATAGATACCTAATAAGATATTTTCGAAGTCGATGCCAGACGATGTAAATGCAATGCTCTTTAGATATGTATAATATAATAAATACATCACAAATTAATGTATAATAAAAATATTTTAACTACAATTATTGAAGTTCAAATCTAGTCATTTTCACCTAGATATTCCTATCTTAAAGCATTGTCGGCTGGCACCGACTAAACGAAAACCGTCGTTCAGTTATTTTTTACTTTTTAATGCCAGAAAATGGTTTTTTTTTAATGGAGTTGTTTAATAAAAAGTTAGTTTATAAATTACTTCTACTATTATATCTACTTCTTCTTCGAAAACTACTCGCATATCTTCTGTCTTGTATCGAAACAAAGCGCATTTTAATAAGAAAGAAATTTATCTTTATTACAGGTGTTAATCCGGATTTAATATCTGGGAAGAAAATTGGTGTTTACGTTGGTGTCTGTCATTCTGAATCTGAAAAGTCTAATATCTATTGTCCTAGAGTTAAGACCGGTCTTGGTATAACAGGGTAAGTATTTTTAGTCAGTACTTACTATTTAATTGCTGTTTTTTTATGACATCACACCATTTATACAAGCTTTTATTTTTACCTGTCTGGGGTTGTGTATCTGGAATCTTGGAAGTTAAATTTGACCCACTTGCGAGTGCCCGACTGAGCTGAAATTTGGCACACTAGTTTGGTTTCCGATACACTGTACGATTATTTAAATGCCGCCAATTTTTATAAAATATGGTTGACCCTTATGATATGGGCATTAAATGAAAGGGCTTGATAAGCAAAAGCAAATTACGTCATTGTAAATCCAATGTGGTGAACTCCCAAAGATGGCGAACCATGATTTTTTATGCACTCCCATGATATGGATATGAAATAAAAGGGTGTTTTAAGAAGAATATGAATAACTAAAAACCATATTTTATAAAAATATATTTTTAACACTTTTTTTCTTGTTTATCTATACAGGTAAATCTCGCGACAAGCTTTTATATCATATGAACTGTGTAATGTAATAAATTGATAGGTTTGATTTAATTTAAAGTATTTTCTTCTTTTTAGAGCATTTAAATAAAAGCTTGTTTTTAACCGACTTCCCTAAAAAGGAGGAGATTTTCAATTCGTCGGAATCTTTTTTTTCTTTTTTTATGTATGTTCACCGATTACTCGAAGACGCCTGAACCGATTTGGAAATATTTTTTTGTTGCAAAGGGTGGTCCCATATAAATTTTATCGAAATCAGTCGAGCAGTTTTTTTAAAGCAACAAATAAATTATTTTTTTAAACAAGTTGCTTAATCGAACATGTTATTAAAAAACTTCTAACAAATTACCTGCTTATTACGTCTACACTAAAAATGGACAAATAAAAACTTAAAAAAACCGAGTGCCAGGCACTAAAACAAAAAAAATAACTAAACGGAGCTTTTCATTTAGAATAGATACTTAATCAGATATTTTCGAAGTCGGTGCCAGCCTACAATATTTTAAGATATGAATATCTAATAGATAAATATGTATTTTACATATCGAAATATATTAGATTTGCTTTGCATTAGCTGGCACCGACTTCGACAATATCTTAAAAGGCCGTATACAAAATCAAAACGAGCGAAATTAGGCATTTAACGCGCACACACCGCGCATACACTCACGCGCAGTAGCGCTCTGTCGCGTGTGTGCGCGCAAATGTGCGCGTAAATCCGAAGACGCCGTCTGGCAATTAACCGTTTTGATGCATTAATATTTTTTACAATTCTTTTACTTTCACTCTCATGGATTTGTAAAATTCAATATTACCAAGAACTTTATTAACTGACTTCCAAAAAGGAGGAGGTTCTCAATTCGTCGGAATGTTTTTTATGTATGTTCACTGATTACTCGAAGACGCCTGAACCGATTTGGAAATATTTTTTTATTTTAAAGGGTGTACTTCCCAGGTGGTCTCATAAATTTTATCGGAATCGGTCGAGCGGTTTTAAAAAAAATCAACAATAAATATATTTTTTTAATGAATTGTTTAATCGAATATGTCATTAAGAAACTTTCTTCTTACAAAGTAGCTGCTTATTACGTGTAGAAAAATTTTCAATACAGAAATTTATTAAACCTGGTCCCAAGCGTGGATCCAGGGAGGGAGGTGGGGGGTGTCATAGTGGGTCATGTCCGTCCGTCTGCCCCAAATATACTTTTTTAAGAAGTTTTAAGTTTAAGTAAGGAAGAAATAATACAAAATTATTTTTTTAAGTAAAAAAAAATAAGTATAAATATTCTTGAGCCTGTAACTTTGTTGTTATTGATGATATGAAAAAGTTGACAAATACTTTTTTATAGGATTTTAAACGTACTACAAATTTTCCATTTAACATTTTTCTCTAACTCATACAGTTTAGCTAAAAAATGCAAAAACCATAAATTTGAACTTCAAAGCTATATAACAAATCAAATCTTGAAAATAGAAATTCGACTCAATGGAACTTTTTGTAGTAAATTTAAAACTAAAATTCATTCATTTTTTTGAAAAATATTTTCGTCACAGTTTGCAGGACAAAAAAGTGTTAATAATCATATTTTCCATACAATTTGTATGGGAAAACTTAAAGTTCGATGGAGATCCTCTTAGAATTGGAATTTGAGCTCCGTTTTTAACAGGAGCTTTGTTGGGACCTATCCTGGGATATATAGAGTTATTTTTTGGCACACCCTAATATATATACATACATACACACATAGGTCTGATGAGTTATATATCCTTTACTTGAGAAATGATTGATTCCCCATACAAAGTTTCACTCCCCTTTTCACCCCCTTAAGAGATGATTTCCGGGGCAAAAACTATCCTTTGTCCTTCCCAGGGTCTCAAATTATCTCCATACCAAATTTCGTCTAAATCAGCGGATTAAGCGTGAAAAGGTAACAGACAGAGTTACTTTCGCTTTTATATATTTGTATGGATTAAACTGACAGAATAACTTTCGTACTTATATATTAGTATTGATTAAATAGTAGTAGTAGAATACGTAGGTATTCATACTAAAATACATTAAACGAAATTAGATATTTAAATATGATTAATAACCTACACTTTTACTTGTATTAAAAATCTAAATAAAATATTTTTTCACAAAAGTATCACAATTCACTAACTCGTGTCGAGCTATACACGTCACTACACTCAGGTCAGTTACACTAGCACGTGACATCGGACATCGCAGAGCGATACATCCACCCCCTAGAAGCCCTCGGCGCGGTCTGCTGGCTCGATCGAAGCTTGCGTCGAGTAATATGTATTGCGAGATTCAGTCGTTTTAAATGTTTTTTTTTTTTTTGAAAGTATAGCTTTTAACATACAATTTCTTTTTTAAGTAATGAATAGTCCTTGAACTGAAGTTTATTTCTGTAATTTTCTTTTTATGAACGAGTGATCTATGTAGCTAAATATACCAGAAATACTTAGCGCATTTTCTTTAAAATTTGACTGAGTTTAGTATTTATTTACTCAAAAATTTTATATGAAAGTTGTAAAAACTGATTTACACATTGTATAAAATAATTTTAGAACAATGCATTGTAATTTTTTCACATTATTTAGAGGTTAACACAATCCGTAAATGGAAATATCCTAAACCTCTTACAGCAAAAATTCACTATTCAACCACGGGTTTGAGGTCGATAATTCAAAATTAAATACTAAAAATAAAAAAGAACGCCATACATTGGATCATAATTGAAAAGATCGTTCATATTATGTATTGACACTTATAGAAAAATTGCTTTTTAACTGTGAAATAGCGTTCATAAAATCTCGTAAATCAGCGAAGTCGGCAAAATTTCGTCTACGGACTCTTAAGTATCTATTCTAAATGAAAAGCTCCGTTTTGTAATTTTTTACATTTTAGTGCCTGGAAGTCGGTTTTTTATTTTAAAGTTTTTATTAAAAATGTCTTTTCAGAATTAATTTATTTTAACTTTTTAAGTTTGAGCCATCATCATCTTCTAGGTAAAGATTCCTTTTGTGTAATATTACAAATAAAATATAGTTAAAATTGTCACTATAGGTAAGATTTGCTTGAAAAAACAATTAAATGTACACAGTTATTTACAATATCTAATATAAATAGGTCGTTCTTGACTTCTTCCTATTCATAACATTCATTAAAACATATCTAATAAAATTAATTATCATTAAGAGTATGTAACTGCAAAAATCTATTTCTATTCTATATCATAGACTTGACGAGACTCATTGATATTGTTAATTTGGAACATTTGTATTTGTAGGACTAATAAAGCTATGTTCGCGAATCGTATTTCATATTGGCTAAATGCGAAGGGACCTTCAATGGCCATCGATGAAGGGTGCTGCAGCTCAATTTGTGCGTTGGAATTAGCTTACCTCGCTATGACTCGCGGTGACTGTGAAATGGCAGTTGTAGCTGGATCTCATCTCTGTCTTCATCCACAAACTACTTTCCACTACGGGAGGTATATATTTGAATTAATTTATTACGAGGTCTTAATTTAAATTTTACAGGCATACTAGCGACTCACTCTCGCTTAGCTCAGGCTCGTCCTATATATACAGGGTTTTTGGTAATACGTCACGATCCCGTTAAAGGGTTATAGTACAGGATATTAGCTATCAATCGACCCTCAAAGTGCGTATGCAAAAGTGTATCGTTTTCTAGTTATTATTATTTTTTCTTTTTATAGGTAGGAGGGTTTGTGACTTTAAAATTTAATTAAAAAAAGAACAATGTATTTCATAATATATATATATATATATATATATATATATATATATATATATATATATTTAATCTTACTCGTACACATCCTTGTTAATATTAACCAGTAACAAAACAAAAACAATCTTCAAGCATTTTTAAATTAGAGCTCCAAAACTGTACAACTTTTGGATTTTTAATTTTAATTCTTCTATAAATTATTATATATTCGTCTATAAAAATCCCTATGACACTTATCCTGTCGATCATCTTAAAAATATCTATGTATCGTCAGCTATCCACCGGTACATAAAAGTAACAGAAAGAACTATTAAGTCAAGAAAAAATGCCACAACGAAGAGACCAGGTGGAAAATTCTAACAAATGCTATTGTTAAGGAATTAAATCAGGATCAAGATAAAAACGACTTTAATGCACAATAATTAAAGATTCTTTTCAGTAGGGTCAACAGGTAAAAAAGGAGAGATAAACTAGAGCTGTTTGTGCAATGTTGTATTAAAAATACTGAACATTTGAGAACATTTATAAATCTTAAAATAGTTATTACAAAAAATACAATAATGAATAAAAATCTTTTAAAATGAAAATTTAAGTCATAATTGCTAAATACTTTAATTTACCAAAATTTATTTACGGAATATGCGGTAAATATCTTTTTAGATACTGGATAATTTGAGTTACGATTGCTAAAATTAAATTTGTTTTCCATAATATCTTAAAGAAATGATATTAACAACTTATTTTTGCAAATTTTTATTGGGAAAACGTAAAAAAATATATTTTTGTGTGTAAATATTATGTTAGTAAATACATCACAATATTCGGCGTTAAACCCTCGATTCGCAAGTCTAAATACTCAGACCTTAGAAAATTATTACATCCATCAAATTATTAGTTAGGTATAACTAAAACCAGAGAGTTCGTTTTTTTTCTTTGAACTCGGGTGAAACCGCTGGTTCTGCCAGTATTCAATAAACCAAAACCCATGAAAATAATATTCGTACTTTTCAGGGTTTTAAGCACATGTCCCGATGGCAAAACAAAATCCTTTGATACAAATGCTGATGGATGCGCAAAATCTGAAGCTATCAATGTAGTTTTCCTTCAAAAAGCAAAAGATGCTTTGAGGTACATATTTGATGAAGCTTAATATAAAAAATAATTAGATACACTACTTATTGTAATTTAATTAATTTTAAGCTGTTATCATATTACAGAATTTATGCAGAGATTGTTAAAGTTAAATGTGAGTTTACCGATTTATGTTTAGATGAAACGGGGCCTATATATGGTTTCTACCGTAGTCCCGAAAAAATGTCTAATTTTATAAAAAGATTTTATGATGAAGTAAATGTTTCCCCTAAAGCGGTGGAATATGTTGAAGCTGTTGGTTCAGGTGATATTTATATATTTTATGATATGACAATTTGTTTCTGTTTATATTTTTAATATGTATGTATTATTTATGTATTTTTTATTAACAGCTATTTCTGAAGCCGATAAATCCGAATTAGAAGCTATAAGCGAAATTTTTTGCAAGGATAGAATCAACCCACTCTTGGTGGGAAGTGTGATGTCTAACATTGGATATACTGCAGCAGCTTCGGGGTTGTCAGCTCTTACTAAGGTCTATCTAACTATAGAACTCGTACATTGCATTATACTAAATTACTTAGATTAAATAAATATTAACTAGAGAATCTTTTCATAGTACGGCCGCACACCCGGAGGTCCTGGGTTCGAGTCCCGGGTCGGGCCAAATTTAGTTATTGAATCTTTCTGTATAGTAAGTGTCAATAACAGCCCGGAGTTGGGAAGTTGGCGGTGTTTCACCCCCGTGCCTCGGAGAGCCGTCGGTCCTGCGCCTTAACTCTCACCGGTCGTGTCGAGTCGTTGTCCCACCGGAGTAGAGAGTGATAGGAATAGAGAGTGCACTTGTGTCTGCGCGTACACTTGTGCACTATAATATCTCCTGCGCAGTTGGCTAATATCAATGAGATTAGCCGCCGTAGCCGGAATCGGCTAGGAGAACATCATCAATGACTATATTTAGTTTTAATAGATTTATCATAATCCATTCAACAGAAAATGTGGAATAGCCTCAACGAAAACATAGGCCTAAGCGTTGGACGCCATCCTGCATAACTATTGCATTAATTGGTGTTAAGTGATAAGTATTAACTGTATTTTACTATGGCTTTATGTGACCATTATTATTATTGTTGTAAAAATAGGTTATCCTGGGCTATGAAACCGGTAAAATTGCCGCCAATCTTCATTGTGATTCACCTCGACAAGACGTACCGGCTTTACGGGAAGGGAAAATTCGCCTTGTTACTGATCATACAGATTTTGGCCGGTCCTATACAGCTATTAACGGGCTTTCAATTACTGGTGTCAATACACATGTTCTCTTAAATGGATGCTATAAGCCAAAGGTAGGTTTTATAAATTAAATAAAGAAGAATATATGGCTTTTTAATATTGAACAGTTTTTTGGAGTTATACTTATTTTGGCACGTTAAGGGAAAAAAAGATGAGATTGTTTTTTTTACGATGCGACAGATTTAGATTACAATCTGAAGTTAGTCATCTTTTTTGGCGGGTAGACACGAAACAGTTCAGACGCGAATTTAGCTGCTCTAATATAAATACTTTTTAAAATATATTAAATACATACCTATATGTTTTAAAGTGCCAATTCACACCATAATCTTATATATTTTTTAAATCTGTAGTGACCTACCTTACCAATCGTGCGTAAGCTATGCAATGAGGATCATTAATATATTGATATATGACGATACGTTTGGCTCAGTGTAGTGACCCTACTTGCTGTGCCAGGGGTCGCGGGTTCGAGTCCTGCTGGGGGCATTCATTTTGTGATGAGCACGAATGTTTGTAAGTCAGTCATGGGTGTTTATCTATACTATAATAAAACTGTAGAGGTCGAATGTCTGTACATAGAAAAAAAATGCTAAAGACCGAGACAGGGGGATGTAAGAAGATAAATAAAACAAATCCAGATTTTTTCAATTTTTTTTTCTGTCTGTTTGTCTGTTTGTACGGGCTAATTTCTGAATCTATTAGACCGATTTAAATGAAATATTGCATGGTGGTACCTTATCATCCGGGCAGCGCCATAGATACTTTTCATCCCGGAAAATTAAAGAGTTCCCGTGGGATAGTTAAAAAAATATAATAACTTAAACAGCTTAGTACACAACAACTTATGTACCTAATTTAGTAAAATTTTGCACGATGATATATTATATTGCCGGTCAAACAATAGGTTACTTTTCATCCCGGAAAAATAAACGGTTCCCGTGGGATAATCCTGCTTGTGCTTTTAATGAAATAGTGTTTATAATATGTATGTATTTAAAGTGTATATGTGTAGTGTATCAACTATATGGTATCCAAAACACAGGCCTCGTAGCTTAGCATGGAACTAGATGGTGCTGTGTGTTAATGTCCCAACATATTTATTTATTTATTTAACTATTTAGAGTGTCAAGATTTCTCGTTTTCATGGGTAATAAATGTTCCTAATAATTCTACAGTTGTTGTGTAGTTGTAGGTTTTAAAAAGGCCTACAGAAAAGTCCGCAACAGCATGTGTCTATTTTATTTAAAACGTAGCTAGTCGAAAATACGAGTAAATAATACGAATCTTGAACATGACACGTCTGGTTTACCCTACAAGGAAGCTGGTTGTAGATAATTTCTGTAAATTGTTAAAAATATTTCAGGTCCCTTCGCGTTATAAGTCAAATATTCCATACTTGGTGACATTATCAGGAAGACAGGAATCATCTGTGGCAAAAATTATAAATGATCTAAAATCTCGGCCAATAGATCCCGAAGAATTAGCGTTACTGCATAATATTCACGAGGCGAAAATTTCCGGTCACTTGGGACGTGGTTACGTTATCCTCGGTAATTTGAAGTATTTTAATTCGATAAAAACATTTGCCTTCCTTTAAACAGGATATTTAACTGTCTCATTGATCTCGTAGCGTCGGCTCAAGTAAAGTCATTAGGTTTCTTTATCTAGGATTTTTTGGAGTAGTTCGTAATCGAGAAGGGCTTAACGATCTCGCTGAGGCACGGGGATATATCATTGCACACTTTTCTGTATGAGCATATCTACGACGAGAGAAGAAAGTCATAGCTTTTTCTTCTCTCTTGCTTATATAAGCAAGAGTGTATTAGGTATAAATGTGGGTGTATGTAGATGTAAACATAGAAGTAGAGGTAGACCGATAAAATTATGAATAAACTGCGTAAAAAGGCTGACAGCTTATAGAGGGGAATGAAAGAAGTAAATATATTATGCCAACCCTTCATAGCGTGGGATAATAATATGGAGAAGACGAATTTAAATTTAATGAAACTAGATCCAAGTAAACTAGTGTTCAAATATTCAATTCTTTCACAAAGTGGCAATGTCTAAAATACGGAAGATGTGAAAAAATAATAAGGAGTTTTATCTTTGTAACTTTTATGACCACATATTTTTTTTATTAAAACTTAAATATCTTTTAATCTTTTAATAAACGCAGATACGGACGAATCAAATACAACGATTAGCCTATGTGAGAAAATGACTTACTACGATGATACCAAACGGCCACTCTGGTTCGTGTACAGTGGTATGGGCTCGCAATGGTCAGGAATGGGGAAGCAGCTCTTATGTATACCAGCTTTTGCTGCAGCTATAGATAAGTAAATATAAATTTGTTCAAATGTATAAAATAGTATTTTAAATAATTATAATAAAATACTGATTACTGTGAAAACAGTGGTAGCCCAGTGAAAAGGCACTGGTAGCCCAATGGTAACGCGCTCGCTTGAGAAATCGAGTGAAGCGGGTTCAAATCCTGGGTCTTACACCTCTGATAATTTCATGTACGAATCATTTATAACATAATTACCACTTGCCTTACGGTGAAGGATAATATCGTGAGGAAACCTGCATGCGTGAGAGAACCTAGCAAGTTTTCAAAGGACACGAGCTTTTCGCCAACCCACACTTGGCAAGTGTGGTAGACTATGGCCTAATCCTATTCGTATTCAAGAGACGCCCGTGCCCAGTAGTTGGACGTTAAAAAGGGCTGAAAACATACATATTGATGACTGCTATGATTCAGATGCCATCACTTCGCATCACACATCTAACTCATTTAGTATTCAGCTCAAATTGAAGATGAACCATGGAATTGGTTAATAAGTAGGGAATCATAGACACCTATTCTAATTTCAGGTGTAAGCGTGTTTTAGAACCTCAGGGAATTGACATCATTGATGTGATATGTTCAGAGGATAAAGCTATTTTTGACAATGTTCAGAACTCATTTGTTGGAATTGCTGCTGTGCAAATTGGTCTGACTGATGTTTTAAAAGAATTAGGCATTAAACCTGACAGGATTATTGGTATGTTTTGTATGATTTTTGTATATTATAAATAAAGATTATTTAATATAATAAATTAATAGTAATAACTTTTTTCTGTTTATAATTTTGTTGAAAACAATAATATTTTTTTAAATACAATTTTTTACTAGTTCGTTAAGTTAATTGAGTTACATACATATATCATATCTTTTTCAACACACAAACATTTTTTAGGTCACAGTGTGGGTGAGTTAGGTTGCGCGTATGCAGATGGCTGCTTTACCGCAGAGGAGATGATTTTAGCAGCAAGCAGGTCAGCAGTCAGGTGTCCTTAGAGACACCTCTCATACATGGAGCCATGGCCGCGGTTGGCCTCGGATATAAACAGGTCCGAAATTCCTCTAATCTATATCATCATCTATACTCCAAAAATATTGTTTTCTTTAAAATGGTGCCTTTACAGAAATTTTATATGAAATTTTATTAAATGAACAATCAATAAAGTATTTTTTACTTTTTGTAGATCGTCAAATTGTGCCCCCCTGAGATCGAGGTGGCTTGCCATAACAGCTCTGAATCTTGTACTATTTCGGGTCCTGCTGAAATGATACACGAATTCGTCAAGGTTTTAGTTAGTAAAGGTGTCTTCGCCAAAGAAGTACCATGTTCAAATATTGCATATCATTCTCGTTATATTGCTGAAGCGGGTAAGTATATGATTATATAACTTAACATACCAAAAAGATAAAATTTTTGGACATATGAAATTATGTATTAGGTAATATAGAATATGCACTACTATAATAATTAAAATTTATAACATAAGCTTTTATCCATGTAAGCTCAATTAATTAATCAAATCAAGCTATTTTAGAAATTTAAGTAAATAACTGAGAAACTTAAGTTAATAATTTAAAATAACAGGTCCTAGACTTCTGTAAATTTTGAGCAAAGTGATCAAATCCCCAAAACCTCGTAGCAAACGTTGGGTATCTTCTTCAGTGCCTATAAATAGATGGGATGAGCCATTAGCCAAATATTCTTCAGCTGAATACCATACGAATAATTTACTTGTAAGTTTTGTTTTTAATAGTCTATATAAACATAAAAATAATATACTGTTGGCGACTGGGCAACAATTATTATACATACATACAGAAAAGGTTCATAGTATTTTAAGATTACTAAGTAAATTGCTTAATAAGTTTTATAAATGTTATTAGTTATGTATTATTTAATATTTTTGGTATTCTAATGATATTAAGTGAGAATTGCGTTACAGAGCCCCGTACTCTTTGAGGAGGCATCACGCTTGATTCCGCCTAATGCAGTGTTGATAGAGATTGCGCCGCACGGACTTCTGCAGTCCATTCTTAAAAAATCTTTTCCCTCCTGCCACCACGTGCCTCTAACACGTAGAGGATATCCAAACGCTGTGCAATTCTGTCTTCAAGCTGTTGGAGAGTAATTATTATAACTTATAATGTTGATTAGACATAGTAATATAATATTGATGATGCGAAGTCATCAACTTTGCTACCGAAGTATTGCTCAATTCAAGCTTGTTTTGTGCACTACATAGCAATTTATCTATGCACAGTATTATCGATTATATCAAACGTGTTTTAAATTCACTATTTTATACAAAAATACTTTTGCAGACTCTACATGGATGGTTTCAACCCAAAAATTCAAGCGCTCTATCCTAAAATAGAATTTCCAGTATCTACAGGAACTCGGCCACTCTCGCATCTAGTAGAATGGGCTCATCAGGAAAAATGGTAAGGATTACAAGAATTCAGTTCAAAACACTATAAACATTGCCAATATATGCATGCACCTTTGGTATTATTCTGAATTACTAGGATTTTTACTATGGTTATTTTTTTCCGAAACTAATGAATATTTTTCTTGGCAACTAGAAAATGGTACTAAAAGTGTAATAAACTAAGTATAACACTATGTATTTATGTTAATCGAACTATTATAATAATGTGAAAGTTTGTTCGTGTGTGTGTTTCTCTTTCATGTTGAAACGGCTTGATGAATTTGGATGGAATTTTATGTACAGATAGACTATAATCTGGCACTTAGACTATAGTTACTTCGGTGCTTAAAATCTATATAGCAAAGCAAGTGTAAATCTTTAAAAACATATTATAGCAATAGAGAACAGGTACCTGATACCTACTACGTATACATATGTTTAATAGATGCTCCCTTTCTGTACTTAGTCTATGAATGCTTGTGTGTATCGAAAAGCAATAGTGATAGTATTTATTACTGTCAAAAGTTTTATAATATTGAGTAGAAATATAGAAATTTGATATTCTAGTGATAATGAAATTGTGAGGTAAATATTCTACATTACATATTTGGATGTTATAACTGAAATAAAACTAGACACTAGGTTGTAAGCATAAGGTAATGTTAAAGATAATAAATTAATAGTAAGTAAATGACCTTTAATATGGCTATATTAATAAAATCGAATGTTATTATAACAGAGGACAAACCTGTTTTTCTAAACCATTGTAATGAAACTCTGGCGTAGCATATTGCTCAGCAGTATACGCTTGCGGAGGTTCATGGCCCCGAGGCTCGAGTGAAGCGAGGGGTAGAAGCTAGTAAGAAATATTTATAGGAAATACAAAAATATATATTTACAGGTCTTTATACTTATTCGCATCTGCACAAAAGAAAATGGCGTCAGCTTGTAAATATGTTATATCAACGCATGACGATGATTACAGCTATTTACGAGGAAATATAATAAGAGGTAAGAGTTAAGAATATTAATATTATTTTTCAAACGATCTTATTTGTTTTCTTCCCCTCTTTTATTAAAGTTTTAACCACTAAGCCAGGATAAAATTGACACATTACATTATTTTTATTCTATTTCTACTATTATGCGTTCTTACAGGATATTCAAAAAATAATGGAAAGGACAGATTTAAATTTAATGTAAATTACGATTCATCACTCCAAAAATTATAGTCTTGCTATTAACTTAGGACATTATAATATCTTCATACACTTAATTATAATCTTTGGTAAAATTGACCAACTTTTATCGCTTTAAATTTTTTTGTCTGTTATGCGAAGCAAATATACGAGTAAGTCTTCAAAATTATAATTTTTCTGTAAATGAATCGTTTTAGGTAAAAATCTCTTTCCATTCGCCGCTGCGTTGGTATTGGTATGGGATACATTTACAATGACATTGATGGTAGAGAGGAAGAAACTATCCGTTCAATTCCGTGATGTACATTTTCACTCGCAACCATTACTACACGACCAACGACAACTTAGAATTAACATCAGCATCCAACGAGGCACTGGACGATTTGAAGTAATTATAATATTATAGCTATCTACTTAATATAAGTATATGTATTAAACCGTCTTACTGATTAACCATCGCCCAGTCCCAACCCCTAAAATTAGAAACTCAAATTATGAACTAAGTTTGGTTATATTTTGAGCCCTCCCCCATTTTATTTGACGACACGTTTGGCTCAGTTTGTAGCGACCCTACTTGCTGTGCCAGCGGTCGCGGGTTCGAGTCCCGTTGGGAGCATTCATTTGTGTGATCACGAATGTCTGTACTCTAATCATGGGTGTTTATATTTATAATATGTATGTATTTAAAGTTATAATGTGTAGTGTGTCAACTACCTGGCATCCAAAACACAGGCCTCGTAGCTTACCATGGAACTAGATGGTGCTATGTATTAATGTCCCAACAAATTTATATTTATTTATTGGGGCGTCGTAGAATTGCTTACGTTCTCAACCCACCACACCAACTATGGACTTGTTCCTATGGTACACTTTGTTGTTAGAGAAGTATCAGGAGCAATCCGTAAGGACAATTTCCCACTGAGAAACGCCACCTCCCACTTCAATTCTTGGCCGGCTGGATATTAATGAGCAACAAGGTGAATACACATAGGGGTGATCAACTAATACAATTTAACTTCTAAGTGAATAAAGTTATTGGCAATATTAAACTTCGTCCTGCGGGACAGAAAGTAGGGCTGCAGGAAAGAAGAGGTATAGTATAAAAAGTCATTAATAAGGCTGATGTTTTTTCACTATATATAACATACTTTTATCACATTTTACAATTCCATGTACAAAAAAATGATTATAATACATTTCATTTTATAGGTGATGAATGAAAATATTAAAGTTATATCTGGTTATATTACTGCTGAAATAACCAATAACAGAATATTAGAGGTAAATTCTGAATGTCATGACAGTACCCAGCTTTGTTCCAACGATATATATCAATTGCTTCATACACAAGGCTACAATTACACGTAAGTTTTATAAATAGAACTATAATTAATAATTATTATTATTGCCATGTTATATACCAAAGGAACAAACATGGCACATCTCCATAGAAAACCTTGCCTTTTGGAAAGTGCCAAATATAAAATCAAGGAACCAAGATCTATCACCACCATCATTTAATAAATATTGGAACACTGTTAATATACCAATGATTTACATTTAATATGCTTTTCACGTAATATTTTCAGAGATGATTTCCGCAGTATATACAACTCTAATTTTTCTTTAACTGAAGCTCAAATAATATGGCAAAATAATTGGATAACATTTATTGACGGCATGCTTCAACTAAGCGCGCTTAGCTGTAATCATAAGATGATCTGTATGCCAGAAGCTTTCAGCAAACTGACGATCGATGTAGAGAACCATTTCAATAATATATCAAACGCTGATGAACAAAACATTTTGATCGCCAATATATTAAAAACACAAGACTGTATAAAGTAAGCGTTTCATTAGTTTATATTCCACATATCTATGAGCTTTTCATTAATTTATATGAGGATACTTCAACAAAATTTAAGCAATCTTTATAAGAATTAGGTAACCTACATATGCCATTACAAAAACCTTATTGACGCTTGATATTTATATTTAAGATGCGGTGGTGTGATTATAGAACATATAAAATATGAAAATTTGGCACCGTTGAATAAAAACGTCGTTTCCTTAAAAACTAAAAAATTTGTACCTCATTTCCCAACAAACAATTCAGACGTAAGTACTTTTATATTGTGTAAGTAATGTTGAGACCCAAAGTATAGAAAAGAATATTTCAAAATAACTGTATTTTTCATTAAAATTGCTGGAATTAGAGGAGTTCTGTAAATATATAACTCACATGCTATTTTATCTGTACAGGAACTAACAGCATCATACATATTTTTACAAATAGCCGCTGAGAATTTAAATAAACAATTCATTAACGTTGTTGAAATCCTGAGAGACGAAACTGCTAAATCTAACTTTGAGGCGATCAGAGGTATTTCTAACAACATCTCTGGAATTAGGACACAACACTCTTTTGTTTACAAAGACAAAATTTTAGAAGATGGTGAAAAGATAAATAGCGCTGACCTATTATTAACCACAAACTTATCTTCTGATAAAAACGTAAGCTTAATTGGTTTATTATTTTATTATAATAGATATAGACTATATTAATTAAGCTATATTCTAATAAATGTATTGACTACTTATAAGGATATTGTTTGAAAAAATATATACATATACTTATTTATACTAATATTTGCTTAAATTATTTCACATAATATGTTCGTATCTCTTCTGCAGATGGATCAAATGCTACAGCGCATATTAAAATGCGATAGTCTTTTGGTTAATAAAGAACTGGACATCGAAGGAAAATTCAACAGATGCCCTTCGATGTTGTATCGCAGTGTAAATGCACATATTATTAATAATTATAACCGTATAGAATTAGCTATATGGAAACCTAAAGATTCTAATGGCTCTAGTGTATACACGGTTCGTTCACCATCAGATTTATCATATGTATCATCTTTGATATCGACTATTCCTTTGAGTCAAAAAGTTTATTTACTAGCCAGTTACCCACTTGTTAAAGGATTGAAATCCCTGATTAAAGAATGGAGAAATGAAAGAAAAGTATATTTGACTATAATACATCAAGATGAATGGGATGATAAACTTTTAAATGAAATACTGTTCAAAGATTTAGTGACCAACATTTACAAAAATGTAAGTTACTTACTATATTCATTGTAAAATTGAACTTATCGTATAATTTCCGTGACATTTAACTACAATCTCAGTAATACATTAATTATTATAAATATTACCTAGTTTACTAATTGTAAAGTATGATTTGCTTAGGGTGTGTGGGGAGGAGAATATATTTTGCCATTGGAAGAGACCTCCACGCCAAAACATAATATTATGTTGAAATGCGCCCGCGCTGGTGATTTCGACTCGATATATTGGATTGAGGCACCACAAAAATATGATAGCGGTATTAATGTAAATGTAAGTATGTTAATGTAAATGAAAACATATACTGACCTTTAAATTTAGTCATGTTGTCATCTATTTGCCCTTTTAAGCGGACATGATTTTCGCAAAGAGTTAATTTAGGTTTACTTGATTCCCCCCCAACGTGCGTTCACCTTGTCGTGGTGGGGGGGCTCAGTAGTGCCCGGCAACCCAACCGGGCGCGAAGCCAAGAAACGCACAGGGAGGTGGCCCACTTCGGTGGGCGGTGGGAGGTGGCCCTCTTCGGAGGGCAGTGTACCTTGCGGGTTGCTCCTGGTACTTCTCTGATAGCAGAGTGGACTGTGGAGCAACCCCGTGGTTGTTGTGGTCTGCTTCGGCAGACCTGCCGTCGGGGCGTCGTAGTTGAATGCGTAAGCGATCCTGCGACGCCCCATTAAGACGGGGGAAGGTTTTGTTGGGTTTTAGTGGGTAGTACTGGCTGTATTACGCCGGTGAGTCCCACACGTCGTGCGTAAATGCATTTCCCAACGTTAAAAAAAAAAAAAAAAAAAAAAAGGTTTACTTGATTGATGATTATATCCGATCGAATAGGAAACGAAACTGATGAATAGAGCGGTCGTTGCTTTTTTTCAGGTTCACTATGCTGGCATTAATCTAGTGTATTTAAAGGAAGAAGCTGGAATCATTAATTCGTACAACACCGATGGACAACGAGCCTTTAAAGTCGACTTCAGCGGCATAACTGAAGCGTATGTAAAGATTTTTCCTTAACATTTTGAAATATTCTATGTATACTGATCATAAATTAATAATTAAATGCATTTAAAAAAATAGGGGAAATCGTGTAATGGGTATAGTTCCTGATCAAGTAATAAGCACACAAGTTAAAGCGCAACCGGAATTATTGTGGCCAGTTCCAGATCACTGGAGTCTTGAAGACGCTGCCACTGTACCTTTGGCTTACTGTATCGCTTTCTACTGCTTGGTAAGGAATATTTTACATATATTTTTCACCTTTGTATAATTTGTCTTTGTTGGTTAGCTTTTCCTTGTTTCTTGACCCCATCACAAAAATATCTTCATTCTTTATACCCTTGCCAAAGAATCTCACTAAAGTAAAATGTATTCCTGTGTTCATGTGTTTCTGTGTTCTGACATAGCGTAATTTAATTGTGCATATTTATACTATTTTACAGATGATCAAAACTCAGCTTATTCCTGGACGACGTGTACTTATCCATGGCGGTGCCGGCGCTTTAGGTCAGGCTTTAATATCTATTGCCTTAGCTTTCCATTGCAAGGTCTTTGCTACAGTTAGCGATATACGCAAGAAACAGTTCCTGCAAAAACTATTTCCTCAACTGCAAGGTAAAAATATATCTGAGAAATTATATTATTTGATTTAAATATTTACATTTACTTAATTCATAATATTAAATATGTATATCTAATATTATGAAGAATTTTCATACACTCCTCAAGTGCCAAGAAATCTCAATCTGATCTCAGCTTTATTTTCATAACATTGTAGATGATCATATCGGAAACTCCTGCGACCACAGCTTCGGAGACATGGTTCTCGGGGCTACCGAAGGTGAGGGTTGTGACATTATCGTAAGCTGCGTCCAGGGAGAACTTAAAAATGTACGTCAAATTTGACTTAGCTTAAAATTAAATTTTACATTGAAATGAAATAAAATTGTGTAATTGTCTAGACTACGTTAAAATGCTGTGCCACGTCGGGTATAACTCTCGATACAACACAATTACTGAGCTGTGAAGATTTTAACTTTGGAATGTATAATCTGACGAAATGTCGTTCTTATGCAAGGATCAACTTCTCTACAATCTTTACAAATCCAGAACAACTATTGGTGAGTAAATAGCGTCACATACTTTAAACACGTAAATAATTATCTACTCGTTAAAACCATTTACCATAACTAAAGTTTTTTTCTATAATTCAAGACTATATTTTATCGTATACTAATTTAATCTAATTTATAATTCATAATATAATCTTAAAAACCTGGTCTTTATTTATAAAACAGTTTTGATATATTTTTGTGAAATATTTAGGAATTACAAGCATTGGTCTGTGAGGGTATAGCACGTGGCTACGTTAGACCACTATCACGCCTAACGTTCGTGCCACAAGAGGCTCCGAGAGCTTTCCGAATTCTATTTGCCAGACGCCACCGCGGTCGAGTGTTACTTGATGTACGGCATCATGGCGTAAACGCTCCAGTTCCAAGGTAAATATTCTATCTTCGGTGATCTCAATTTTTTGTAGTTGAATAATTTTTTTTTTTAATCTGCGTTATTACACACTGTATGGATTATTGCAATGCAAATTGTAAAAGTATGTACAATTTGCATTGCAATAATCCATATAGTATGTGGCTAATTCGTTCATGGTATAAACTTCAATCAATTGCAATCTATATCCATTTTGACCACGAAATCAGTATACCCTTTTATCGTTTGCGTTCATATATCAACGTGAGACCCCGTTCGTACTTGTCGGGTGTTGGATCCGTATTTTAATTTGATCTCGGATCATCTGTTGCCACTAGGCGGATGTCGGATCCGATGACACTGGTCCCAATTATTGACACTCTATACGAGGTGACTTTACGCTATGGACGTCGATGAAACTTTTGTTATGATGTATTATTCGAGTAGGAAACAAATAAAAACAGCCGAGAAATGAAGATTTTGGATTCACCCAATCCTGAGGGGAAGATTTAGTTTGGAAACATTTCAAACCATAATCACTCAATTGAAGAGTGATAAACAGAAGTTATTTAATTATATATTGTTACGTTCTATGAGTTCGGGAATCGGAAATTAAAGTACGTCTCTTGCACTAACGATGTTTTATTACTCTTGATTAACTGACTGACTTATGGAGATTCACTAACACACGCAGTATATACACATTCCTAGTTGAACTCAGTCTCTGGACACTAATTTTCACCATTAGATACACTTCGAGTATAACTTCACTTCGAAAATATCTGATTAGACATCTATTCTAAATGAAAACCCCTGCTTAGTTATTTGTTACATTTTAGTGCCTGGAAGTCAGTTTGTACTTATTTTATTTTTAAATTTTTATTAAATGAATTTGATGATTTTGAATTTTTGATTATAAGTCATATTGAATAAAAATTATGGACATTTTTAAAATTATGAATAACAATAAATACTATAAATGATAACGAACTGATATTTTAATACCTTTAAGTATTACGCAAATATTTAACTTTATAAAAAACGTACTTTTTTGTATTACGTTTAGGTTTTTAAAAAAACATTTAGGAAATTATTTTTTACTAAAAATGATTTACCGCTTTTCCTTTATAAAATATAGCATGAAGCTATCAAGAAACTGTTTCAGATTAAGATGTGCTTCTGATATGTGTCAAGTGATCCTGTCTAAAAATGAAGAGTTGGGCATTCAGTTAGCGGAGAGGCTTGCAAACCGCGGTGCACGAAACATAAACCTATACTGTGAAAAAATATCTAATATACTGCTATTTAAGCAAAGGTACATATTATACAATAATGACCCCAAGATGATGTGATTCGTTTTAAGTTTTAAGTGCTATTGATTCTTGGTTCTTATTTTTAAACTACTTTCATTTATATATACGCAAATTGTTCGGTTACCGCTTATCAATGATATACACACTCATTATCACTAAATATATTCTGTATACAACTTCACAGTATACTTTGATAAAAAATATCTGAATTCAACCGCAACGACGCGACGTACAGATCTCTTGTCGTAGATTTCTCTGTAAAAAGAAAATGTGAACGCACGTTTTACTTAGTTGATCTACGTGCGTTCATAAATGGGCAGGTTTTTTATGTATTTTTGTGGGTTTGGTTTTGGAATTCAAATAATAGTCTTTAAAAAAGAGGACAGAGAGTTGGTTTAACCGATGAACTAGATAAAACAGATAGATAGAACAGATTATTTCGATTTGTTTCAGATCTTGGCAAGAAGATGGAGTAAATATCAAGGTATCACAAGAAAAGCTAAATCAAGCCAATTTAGTTGATTTGATCAAGGGTAATATTAATAGAGATATAGAAGGATTATATTTGTATGACATAATTTCTCAAAAGGAAGAAATCGATAAGTCAGAAGAAATAATTTTAAAAGTAAAAAAAATGATTCCAAAGCTAAAGTAAGTTTATCCGAATACAAATATTTGCTCGCGGTTGCGCCATTATGGTGAGCAAAGCAGGGATAAAAATTAGGCTATATCCATCCCGATTATACATTGGGTATAAGTTGATATTCACTTAGGACAAGAACATAACATAAGTATTGTATGGCAATATTGTAAATTAATATTATTAAAAAAAAACAACTATTGAGTTTCTCGTCGGCTATTCTCAGCAGAACTGCCTTCTGAGCCGGTGGTAGATTCCTCACGAACTTACATACTGCTATAAATTAAATTTAAAAATATAAAATTGACGATTCTATTCATAAATGTTTTTTGATTTGATATAATACTTTCTTGTCAAGCAGTCAAATCTATTCAGCGGTTCAAGTGTGATAAAGTTACAACAAATATCAACATTACAATGGATAATACTATCCATTGTAATGTTGGCATGAAAATTTTAAATAATCCAACTACTTAAAGATTGAGAACTAACAATTTTATCTGAGAACTGAATCCAAATCCATTGAAATTGGTTAACTTTGATAAGACGCAGAAAAAACACAAAAATACGTTTTACTAAATTTAGTTACCAATATTTAATAATTAGTACATTTTCAGATACTTTGCAATAATTAATTCCAACTTCAACATCAATGAGCAGATCGATGTGGGTAGAAATCGAGAACCATTACTTGTCTGGGTTAATTTGCCGTTACTGGACAAGGTACAGCTATTTGTATACAAGAATTGAGATGTTTTATATTATGAGCATGTATTTTATTATTTTTTATCGCTAATACTTAAAGAAAGCAATATATCCAGAATGAATCGAATTTGACCCAAATAACCAAAAAGTATCAAATTTTAACTATTTCTCTTCCATTAGATTTCGAGAAAACAAAGCATACTTAAACAAATAACTCTCTTCTCTTACAAATCGGAAACTTATTTTTTGCAGCTGGATGAATGGGAAAAAAGTTATTCTTCAGAAGAATCAATATCATCTTTAACTGCTGTTGATGTTGTAGAAAAAGCGCTGTGTTCTAAACAGTCAGTTGTAATCGCTTCAAAAGTAACACTACCACATGTTCTTTTAATGCAAGCAATTTCCAAAATGGCAGGTAAATGTTCTATCAAAATCATTGATTAAACATCGAATATTTTTATATCTTTCAATTATCAGACTACTATTATAAATACGAAAGTTGGTATGTATCTATGTGTATGTTTGTTACTCCATGACGCTGAAACAGCTTGATTTAAATAAAATTAAGTGGACATAAGTACAGGCTATGGACATGAAGTGAAAACAGAAGACAAATGAATGGGAAAGTCGTCAATTTGTATATTTAAAACATGTTATAAAACAAAACGTCTTATTTAAATAAAATATCCTCTGCTACTTTGTGTCGTAGGACATAACAAAATTACAATTGCTTTATAAGATAACATGATCAAATTTTCAACAGTAATATCTTCTAAAATAACTATAGTTCCAAAAGACTATTTAAAAAATCAGCTTTTATGTCGCTATATAAGGTACCATACTATTTTTATAATTCCATGCAAATAAATTGTCCTCCTTAGTTCAGTGCTGGAGAACTCGAGAATCTTAACTAATGGCACTAATACTGTAACTGTTAATTTGCATATTACAATTTATCCACAGGTATTAATATAGAAGATAAGACTCCCGAGAAGAATACATTAAAAGATTTGGGCATAGATTTAGCTAATTTCGAGGCAATACGAGCATATTTGCTTTATGAGCACGACATATCTTTGACTAATCAAGATATGTCTTCACTTACTCTAAAAACGTGAGTAGAGAGAATCTATATAAAATGAAGGAATATTATTTATAGTTCATATTATCATATTTGTATTGACCAGTTTAGCATTTCACAAACATTTTTATTGCTCTGGTCTGGTCTTTTTATATTTTCCCATAGTGACCCACCAAAAGATTTTTAATCCGTCTAGTACAGGTAGGGAAAATTAAAAGCACATTTGGATGTCCAAATAGGAAATGTGTATTAAGGTAAAATAAATAATAATTCAATAATAATATCAGAATTATATTAAATTTTTGTGAAAAGTATGAAGCTATTTGTTTTTAACTATGAACTCTAAGTTTGTCTGAAAGGACTTTAACTCTATTCTTAGGTCTGCTTCGACTTCCAATCGGCTTCTATATGTATTTTTAAGCATACTGGTGTTGAATACCCTGCTTCACATTTATACATAGGTCGTGACAAAGAGCATTAAACATTTTGTCGCTTGATCTGCTAAAAGTTGGTACTCTTGACGACAACACAACCAAAAGTCTATAAAAGTCGGTTTTCTCTCGAATATAACCTTGAGTACTGTGTCACATGTCAATTCAATTAGCGAGTCTATATTTGAATCTATTGATTAATAATATTATTAAGTGTTGCTATTATTATATTTAACCATAAAGAAAATTAAAATGTTTTAATAAAACTTACTTTAAGTCGCCAAAGAAAATTACTTAGTTCTTACCACCAGTCAAGTACTACATCGTCAGTGCCATTCAGGAGTATATAAGCTTGATTGTGATTATAGGCTCTCCTACATTAGGCAAATAAAGAGATCTATTAGAACTCCGGTTAAAGAATACATATCTGAAGAATGAAATGAATGAAGAAAAAATGAATGAAATGAATGAAGAATACATATGTGAAGCACCATCGTAATACAGCGTTTGCGGCCTGTAAACATAGTCAGGATCGCCCAAGCCACTACATTCGTTTTGATAGTTCATAAATGCTCACGATAGTGGACTACTTTTGCTTCAGGATGATTTACGAAGCTATTAAAATTAACAAACATCCAAACTTCAATAGGGTAGATGGTTGGGTACTACCATCATCGCGGGATCCTGTAATTACCATAATAAAATCTAACAACGAAAATAAACAAAACAGACCATTAGAAGTAGTTAGTTCATACTGTGAGGATCAAAATAGCAGTAATTTAATTTTTTTATCTACAAAGGTAGCAATAGTGTTGCTTAATATTTTAACTTTTTAAATTACTTATCCATACTTCTATACTAATATTATAAAGAGGTAAAGTTTGTGAGTTTGTCACGTTGTAGGGGGTACTCTCTGGATCTAGTGACCCGATTTAGATGAAATTTTCTAAGAAGATAGTTTGAGACCTTGAGAAGGACATGGGATACTTTTTATCCCGGAAATCATCCCTTAAGGGGGGGGGGGGAAACTGGGGATGAAAGTTTGTATGGGGAATCAACCTACGCTAGTCTATACTAATATAATATAGAGGTCAAGTTAGTGAATTGTGAGTCTGTGAGTTTGTGACGTTGTAGGGAGTAATCTCTGGATCTACTGAACCGATTTAGATGAAATTTGGTTAGAAGATAGTTTGAGATCCTGGGATGGACATAGGATTTTTATCATAGAAATCATCCCTTAAGGGGGGTGAAAATGGGGATGAAAGATTGTATGAGGAATCAACCTTGGGACGAACCCGAGCGAAGCGAGGGTGAGTCGCTAGTATATTATAAAGAGGTAAAGTTTGTGAGTTTGTGACGTTGTAGGGGGTAATATCTGGATCTACTGAACCGATTTAGATGAAATTTGATAAGAAGATAGTTTTAGTCTTTTTATTCCGAAAATCATCCTTTAAGGGGGTGAAAATGGGAATGAAAGTTTGTATCGGGAACCAAGTTAGGGAAGAACCCGAGCGAAGCGAGGGTGAGTCGTTAGTAAAACAATAATATTACTTAAATAAATAATTAATATTTTTAATTTTCTTAATGTCTATACATGTTATTATTTTGATATCTCATATGAAGCCAACTCAAGGTTTTCAGTTGGAGCGTTCTGTGATAAAATTGAAGCTTTACATTTTTTGGTACCTTTTCTGTCTCTCTTCTTATTAATGAAAAATTCTATTGGCCGCTTATTAGAATCACTATCAGAAATTGTACTCGGCCGTTAGTGTGCGTTACTTGGCTTTATTAACCACTTTTTATATAACTTTATATTATTATATAACTATATTAAATAAATGTTGATTAAATGATGTTGAATCAATAAATAAAATCAATATAAGTAAAATGACAAACGTAGGTAAAAAATTAAAATCATGCACAGAAAGACAATTATTCTTTATACTGGATACGCACAAGCTGAACGACAACGAGCGGTGGCGGGATGGACATGTGCGGGCGGCGTTCGAGGTGCGGGGCGAGTAAAACAAAACTATGCGGGAAGCGTGAGTGATGACGACTACCACTCAATAGTGCAATGGCGTAGTGCTTGCGTTGACACAAAAGCAATATTATGTCTCTGGATCATTCACGACTATGATTATAAACAAGGAGAAATATTGTGATCCAGTATTTTATTCATGTCGCCCAGTACCAAGTCGCGACCCACCGTGTAAGAAACTCCTTACTAGATTATTTTCTGATTTAATCGAAATATAGGAATTTGAATATTTTACGGTTTACCATCAATGTCTTGATATTGACAAAAATGACGAAAATACCCTCTAAATACCATCAAGTCGCTAAGATTATATTATTGTAGTCTATAATAATAATTTTAATATAGGTAATACATATTGAAACTGATTTAACATTTATGCAACTATGCTTTGTTTGCAGGCTTAAAAACTTGGAACGAAACATTATGAAAATCAACTACACCGAAGTCGATGGACTGAAATCATTATTTTTAAATGTAGACTCTGATGAGATTCAAGCTAGCAGTGACATTGTATTTCTACCAACATTAACTAATACTATTTTGGTAAGCTAAATATAAATATTAAGAATAACAATTAAATACACTAAAAGCATTTTTTTTAATTCACATTGCCTTGTTAGTCTAGCAGCTGGCTTATACTTATAAAAATTTTAAGGTTCTTGTTTGTTTTCGAGGAGCATGTCAATATTGGTAAACCTAAAAGTTGCTAAGAAATTCAGTAGTAATAGTTTGTTGGAAAATATATAGTGTTAAAATCGTTCAGGTTATGATGTTTCTGTGTTTTAATTAACGGAAAAGAGTCACAAGCATGACAATTGCCCCCTTTTTTTTAACGTTGGAAAATGCATTTACGCACGAAGTGTGGGACTCACCGGCGAAGCCAGTACTACTACCCACTCAAACCCAACAAAGCCTTCCCCCCGTCTTAATGGGGCGTCGCAGGATCGCTTACGCATTCAACTACGACGCCCCGACGGCAGGTCTGCCGAAGCAGACCACAACAACCACTCTGCTAACAGAGAAGTACCAGGAGCAACCTGCATGGTACACCGCCCTCCGAAGAGGGCCACCTCCCACCGCCCACTACTGAGCCCCCCCACCACGATAAGGTGAACGCACGTTGGGGGGAATGACAATTGCCCCTGGCTATTGAGTATCTAAACTGTCATGGGACATTTTCACGTAGAATATATAACAAGTGTGGTAAATATGACGTAATGGCCTCCTTCTGACAACAGGGCTGAACTGACTGAACAAGAACATGAAGCGAGAAAGGAAAGCAAACGCTTTTACCGCCACTAAGGTGTTTTAAGTGTCACAAAATAACCTTCCAGCATTAATTTAGCAGCAATCCTGCAGATGCAACATTTTTTCAGGGCGATATAGTTATATATGATAGCGAACATGTAACAGTATTATGCTTTATTTAAATTAGTTACTACACCATCTCATTATGTCTTTTGTGGTTTTACAGTCTGATTGTGATTTCGATAAAAGTCAAGCGTATATGTGCATAGTGCCGGGTGTTGAAGGCCACTATGAGCGGTTCCGTGTATTGTGTGAGCGACTCAAACTCCACGCGCTCGTACTGCAGCCTGGTCTGAATAATCCTCGAGAAAGTATGGATGACTTAGCTAATAGATATGTTCAGGTAGGTGTCTCTTTCTTTTACAAATAGTCTTGAGATAATATCGTTTCAAGTAAAAAACAAAAATGTTTTAATCATTGATTGAGAAATATACAAACATACTCGTTCTGCATGATTATGATAATATAGCACTAGAATTTCACACCATTCCTATGCCTTATTTAGATTGTTTATAGTATAATATCAGTGTAAACATTATTTATTAGGATTAAAATTATTTCAGGTTCTTCTTAAGAAAACAGGTCTTCGTGACAAATTCGTCCTATTAGGCTATGAAAGCGGTGTTTTAATAGCAATAAAAATGGCAGAAATTCTGGAAGCGCACGGTAAGACTTATGAATATTATTTATATTATAAATTTCTTATGATAAAAATATTTGATTTCATGAATTGAGTGACATTTATTTTCAGGTATACTTGGAACCATTTTTTGTATCGGCGGATCCCCAGATGATATCAAGGCACATTTTCAGCATAAACTAAGCATTTATAAAACTGAAGTAGATCTCCAAAACGCAATTTTACAGCACACAACAAGTCTTATGATGAAAAAAGCTGATGAAAGAATTAATAAAAATCTAGAAACTGCTGCGACATGGGACGAAAAAGTATTAGCTTGTGCGCGCATAATGAAAGAAACTATTCAACACTCCAGTCAATATGCGAAACAAATCATAGAATCTGCGTACGCAAAAGTGTACCAAGTACTTCAGTACGAGCCAGTGCCGGTCGTGCTTCGTTCAAATATAGTTTGCCTTCGTCCTACGACATGTAGAGCAACAACTTTACAGAAGTTTTCTGAACAACCAGTCGTCGAGTACAATCTAAACACACCGCTCGAGTACATGACGCAAGATTTACGCTGCTCCGCTATCATCAACAGACACATCGGCGATGATATTCTACAACAATTTAATAAGAGGAACTTGTGCGAAATGTATGAAAGCTAGGTGTCGAGTAAGTTATAGATTTTAGTCGTCGCTTGAACCACAATGTCTTCCTTATTATCGATATCGACACGTTATCTTCTTGTTTCATTTGGTGTGTTAGCAATATTTAATCCTCTTATCCTGCTGATTGTACTGCAAGGATCCTTTTTCTTTGGTATCTAGAAACGTTATCACTTCCTTACCTTCTTATTCATAATTTTAGCTAGTTGCCATCTATCAAATAATTTGTAATACCGAGGAATCTTCTTTACATAAGACATATGTAAATATTATTACATATCCATACTAATATTATAAATGTGAAATTTTCTGAGTATGAATGGATGTTTGTAACTCTTTCACTCCAGAATAGCTGAAGATGAAACTTGGCACAGAGATAGATTATAGTCTGGAATAGCACATAGGTACATACTTTATCCCGGAAAAATGTACGGTTCCCGCGGGATAGATTTATTTTGTCTAGGGACGAACCTAAAGCGAAGCGATGTTGAGTCGCTAGTTGGATATATATAGATCGAAACTGCTGTATAGTCGTCAGCAACTTATTTAGTATTTTTTATAACTTTCACAAATGTTTCGACACAAAAGCCTAGTTATTTGTAGATGTTTATGTTATCTGTAGAATAAGCCGGCTTATTATAAAGTATGTCTCTTTTAAGAGAATACTATGACAGCGATAAAGTCTATATGACAAAACTGCCATAATTGTTAAATTTAATTTCATACCGAATTAACTGTGCCCTTTCTTTATTTATTTTTTTCTATCTTTCAAAAGATCTGTGCGTGTGTGTCGAATGGAAATAACGGCATAGTGATTTAAGTGTAGAATTGTTAGATACCTATATGTATCAGCTAAAATATATTATTTTTATTTATTTTAATAGGTACTTATATTATTTGTACATTTAATGTGCTGTTTATAGACGATGACTTCTCTTCTCCTGTATGTATGTATGTATGTATGTATGTATGTATGTATGTATGTATGTATATATGTATATATGTGTGTATGTATGTATGTATGTATGTATGTATGTGTGTGTGTGTGTGTGTGTGTGTGTGTGTGTGTGTGTGTGTGTGTGTGTGTGGTGTGTGTGTGTATGTATTGAGTATTGAGGATATTCAATTGTGTGAAGTTATTACACCGCCTACCATTTCATATTATTTTCTACTACGCCCTAATGCCTGGAAGAAATCGCTTATAGCGATAAGGCCGCCTCCTGTGCATCATCTATTGTTTATTCACTCTTTTTGTATATTCCTTTATGGTGTACAATATCTTTCTATCTTAGAATGCCTTTGAACTAGTAACCCTGTCTGTGCATTAGACGATTGACTCAATATTTTTAATGGTGGAAAAACCGGAAAAGATGGCTTGAAGATAAATAATACATTAAATATATAATAGTTCAGGTGACCAAAACCAAATTCTTAAGTTTTACAAATTAGTATACATTGCAATTTTTGTATTTTTTCCCAAAAATGAGATATTTCCAGCGGTAAAAAATATCCTATATGTTGAACCGGATAACCAGCTATCACCATACCAAATTTCATCAAAATCCCTCCAGTGGTTTTTCCGTGATACAGTAACAGACAGACAGACAAAATTTTTAAAAACTATAAATTCGGTCTTTGTATCCATAATAATGTCTATTTCAATAAGATTTTCCAAAAAAATATCTAATGTAAAGATTCGGATTAGTTACAATTTTATTATATGTATAGATTTTGTATGGGAATAAATAATGTTTGAAATTTTTAGTGCTTTTTAATTTTTATTTGATTTTTCATCATTATTTATAAGCTTATTACCTATCATTTAAAGATAGAGTTATCTATATATTATTCATAATTAAATCGAAGAAAACTATGATTGTACAAAGTAAAATTCTAGAGATATTTCATTATTTATATTTTGGTGAAGTTTAACATGATGATAATATTAATATAATGAACTAGTATTGCTCGCGGCTCCGCCCGCGTTCAGATGACCAAAAGCCAAATTCTTAGGTTTTACATATTAGTTTACTCTTACATTGCAGTTTTTGTAGTTTTTTTCAGAAATGAGATATTTTCCAGCGGTAAAAAGTATCCTATATGTTGACTGGGATAACCAGCTATCACCATACCAAATTTCATCAAAATCCCTCCAGTGGTTTTTCTGTGATGCGGTAACGGACGGACGGACAGACAGACAGACAGACAGACAGACAGACAGACAGACAAAAACTCGAAAAACTATAGATGCAGACTCTGTATCGATAATTATGTCTATTTTAATTAGATTTTCGAAAAAAATATTAAATGTACAGATTCGCCGTAGTAAAATTTTATTATATGTATAGATAATGGTAATTGTTTTGAATAAATAAATATGTTAAATTAAAAAAAACGAATTTTAATTTTCCAGTACAAATCGAAAATTTCATACTTTGACCCCTATTGTTTACCTATTAGACATTCATTTCTTAAAGCATTGTCAGACTATACAACTTATATATTTAAAAATAATTTACATACTTTTATATTATGAATTATATTATACTAGCGGCTCACCCTAGTTTTGCTCGGGTTCGCCTCTAGACAAACAAAAACAAATTTATCCCACGGGAACCGTACATTTTTCCGGGATACAAAGTATATATGAGATTTTGTGTACTAAGCTGTATAAGTTACTATAGTTTTATTACTATCCCACGAGAACTCTTTAATTTTCCGGGATGAAAAGTATCTAAAATGTTGACCGAAGATATAAGGTACCACCATGCAATATTTCATTCAAATCGGACCAACAGTTTCGGAGATTAGCCCGTACAAACAGACAAACAAACAGACATACAGGCAAACAAACAAACAGACAAAATTATAATAACTATTGTTTTGGGGTCTATATTGTGTACACAAACACATAATACGTTACAAAGAAACATACACAAATCTATCCCACACGAACCGTACATTTGTCCGGGATAAAAAGTAGCCTTTTTGTTATTGTGATGTAATCTGAACTATATTATTATAAAGTTTCATTAAAATCTAATGAATAGTTTCAGTGTACTAAGCTGTATAACTTATTATAGTTTTTTTAACTATCCCACAGGAACTCTTAATTTTTCTGGGATGAAAAGTATGTAAGATGTTGACCAGGGATATGAGGTACCACTATGCAAAATTTCATTTAAATCAGTCCAATATTTATTTGGATATTAGCCCGTACAAACAGACAAAGAAAAAAAGAAAAAAAAAATAAAAGACAGAAAAAAAAATAAAAAAAATAAACTGCTTTTGTTCTATTTCTCTTCTTACGTCCCCCTGACTCGGTTTTGAGCATTTTTTTCTATGTACAGACCTCTACAGTTTTATTATAATGATGATGATGATGATGTTCTCCTGGCCGATTTCGGCCACGGCGGCCAATCTCATTGAGACTAACCAACTGCGCAGGAGATATTATAGTGCACAAGTGTACGCGCAGACACAAGTGCACTCTCTATTCCTATCATTCTCATACTCTGGTGGGACGACCAACTGCTCGACACAACCAGTGGGAGTTAAGGCGCAGGACAGACGGCTTTACGTGCTTTCCGAGGCACGGGGGTGAAACACCGCCAACTTCCTAACTCCGGGCTGTTACTGAAGCTTATTATACAGAAAGACCCAATAACTAAACTTGACCGGACCCGGGACTCGAACCCAGGACCTCCGGGTGTGCAGCCGTACATGCTAGCCACTACACCACCGAGGCAGTTATAATATAGACTATTTTATTTATTATAATATAGACTAGCGGCTAACCCTCGATATGCTCGGATTCGCTACTAGAAAAGCACAAACAGCTCTATCCTACGGGAATCGTTCAGTTTTCAGGGATAAAAGTAACCTGTTGTTTCACCGGCAAATATTTAAGTATCAGAATGTTACATTTTACTGAATTAGGTGCATAAGTTGCTATGTAATAAGCTGTATAAGTTACTATAGTTTTTTAACTATCCGCCAGGAAGTCTTTAATTTTCAGGATGAAAAGTATCTAAAATGTTGACCGGGGACATAAGGTACTTCCATACAAAATTTCATTTAAAATCGGTCCAAACAGTTTCGGACAAATTCAGCCCGTACAAAAATGGTTAAGATTTAACTAAATAATGAACTAAAAAAACCAAAACCATGTTCGACGTGAGTTTTAAATTGGCATAACTTTTTTATTTATGTACCGATTGACATGAAACAAACACTACATGTTAAGTGAAGCTTATCGCAATATATAAGTGAAAACCACATCTAAATCAGATAACCCGTTTCTGAGATTAGCGTGCACAAGAACAAAGAGATAAACAGACAAACAGATAAACAGACAAAAATTCTAACAATCATTGTTTGGGTGTTATTTGCGTTAATAAAGGTCCCAATAATATTTTTTCTCATATATCTTCTATGTACAGACAGCGGCCCGTTACATTTTTATTATAATATGTATAGATTACTAGCGAGTCACCATCGCTTCGCACGGATTCGTCCCTAGGGTATGTACCCTATGTACTGTATGTAGTACTGTTTGTAGGGTAACTTTCCTATTTGAATCGGATATTATTAAATTTTTCATTGGTTTTAATTTTTTTTCGTAGGGACATTTTTTCTAAAATTAAGGTAGCCTAAGTTACTCCTTATTACATCAGCTATCTGCCAGTGAAAGTACCGTCAAAATCGGTTTAGCCATTTCAGGGATTAGCCGGAATAAACAGACAGACAGACAGACACAAATTGTAAAAAATGTTGTTTTGGTATATGTATCGTGTATACATACATCCATATGCATTTAGTAAAAAGCTGTTATTTGGACATTTCCAACAGACACTTCAATTTAATTTATATGTATAGATTTGTTTTTGAGTAATGTTACCATCGTATAAATATTGACATTAATATTTATACGATACTAACGTCACTCAATTGTTTTGCCTTCCCGGAACCTCTCCACTAACACTTAAACTTTATGG